TTTACCAGCATGTTCACTTCTATTTAATCCATGTGTTTACTAACATGATTGCTTCTGTCTAATCTACGTGGTTACTTCTGTTCAATCTGTATGTTCAATAACATATCTAACTATGTGTTTCCTAGCATGTCTATTAATGTTCAATCTATGTGTCTACTGCATTAGCATGTCTATTGCTGCCCAATACATATGTTTACTACAATAGCATGTTTACTTCTGTTTTTAATTAGAACTATGTGTTTCTACTTTCAGCAAATTTGCATATTTACTCATGTCTAAATTAGATCTGTGTTTTGTCTACTTCCCTACTAGCATGTTCTCCATATCTAGATGTTCACCTTTCACAACTTTGCTCCCCAATCCCTACTGCCACTTTGTATGTGATTATTCGATCCTCAGCATGCTTTGTCTTTGTGTTTGGTTACTTAGTAATAGCTAACTTAAGTAATCCCACTTCTTAATGTTGTTTGTTTGATGTAACCTTTGCCTAAGTTCCAGGAATTGAATGACTTTGTTTGCTTCTTGTTTCCTGAAAGTCTAAAACTGCTTTTCTCAAAACTACTCTTATAAATTACTATCCACTTCAAAATTCTTAGAGCATCTAGGGTCCTACCCCTCCAGTGTGAGCATTGCTTTGGAGTCCATGAGACTCCTCTGAACTTTGACACACTGGGGCTAGCTACTACACACTGCACAAGCTGTTGATTTTTAAAGAGGACATTGGTGTGAGCACTGACCGGGGACCTTGAGGCCCTTGGGAACTTTGACACACCAAGGTACCCTCTCTTGCACTATGAGATATGGCACTTGGGACTATTTGAAGGCCTGGTTTCCCAGGTTTTGCTTTGGGCCTATCCAGGCTCCCTATAGTATAGTGTTGTCTATTCATGTAATTCATTTACGCTTGGGTTGTAATATTAATTTCTTTGTAAATAGATATTGGGGAAATTAGTAAAATTGGGAGGAATTATTATACATATTTTTGTTGGGAATGGGTAGATATCATGCCTATAAGTTTTGAAATCAGTGTTTATATCCTAGAAACCATGTCTATAGGACATTGAAATGTTCATCACTTGTGTGCATTCTAGATATCATGTCTATTGGTTTCAAATCAACTTTTGCAATCAGAAATCATATCATTGTGCTATTTGTCTGTTTGCGTGCATTCTAGATACAATGCGTATAGGTTAAAAATCAATCTTTCACTTTTAGATATCTTGCCTATAAGTTTCAAATCAATCTCCTGCATTTGGGAGTCATGCTAAATAGGATTTCAGCATATTCAACATTTAGAAATCATGCTTATAGGATAAAATCAATGTTGCATTCTGGACACTTTGCTTGTAATTTAAAATCAGTCTTTGCATGCCAACAAGGTTTTAAAACTAATTGCTGCATTTAGTTTCCATTGTCTAAAATTAGCCCTCACATCTAGACAGCATGCCTATAGGGTCTAACGAACCAAACTGCATGTTTAAAATTGTTTACTGATTTACTGTACTTCCGATTAATTAGATACCATGTTCATAGGACATCACTGATACACACCTAGGCAAGCCTGTAGGGCGATTAAAATCCTATAAACTGTAAAACTGTGCTTTTGTTAACTGTCCAGATTCAGCAAGCCCCTCTAAAATCAGTAGGCAACTGATTAGGTATTGGTTCCCCGCTTTAATAAAACTTTGCATATGTTCTGATTTGTGCTCACCAAGATATCCTGTTATTAGGATTTTTTTAAAAGTGTCTAAAACACTGCTGTTTGAGACGTGCACTTACTTGCTCTATTTGTGGAGGTAAATATGAGCCTTTTAACTGTTCTATCGTTGGTCCAGTCCTAAGTATTTTGTTTGTCGCCTAGAGCTTTCTCCTTTTAATTACTTTAGGAGAGTATAGATCCACCTTAACTAGAAGTCCTAAATACCTTCGAAACTATTTAAGTAAAGGGACAGGTAGTGCACGCATTGGATAGATCTTAAGGTTGCTAGAAAGCTTTAGGCTATTACCAAGGGGAGGGTAATTGGATAGTAAAAGATATGATGACATGTGCGCTAATGCCACGTGTAACCTCTCTAGTTGAGGAAGGTTTACCGGATATTGTACAGATGTGATCCTATAGGCTAACAAACCTAGGACTTCCATCATCTTATTTGCATATGTGTGCTTAGACTGCTTATCTGTTAAATCTCCATTATCTTATATGTGTGCTTAGACTGTCTATCTGTTAAATGACTAATTCACAAAAAATGAGTTTGGCCGGGACCCACCGTTGTGGACCTCGAGGGATGCCTAACACCTTCCCCTCAAGGTTATTTCGAGCCCTTACCCAAGTCTCTAGTAATGCAAACCGGTTTTATGAGTTATTTGCTCTAGGTGCCCTAACGCATGTTAAATTCGTTTGGCGGTGACTCTTCAAATTCAAATACTCAATTCCCGAAAGGAAATGAGTTGTCCTAATGAATGTCGAAACCCGGACTCTGTGAGGAAATAGGGGGTGCGACACTTCTTAGTACACGTAGCCTTCTATATCTCCCAGCATAATATACTAGAAGTAATTTGGAAAATAAATTGGTGAGTTTTGTTATTTGGTCTAGAGTTCCACCAATGCCAAAGATAGTTTGTAAGGCTGGCTCCACTGATGTGAATTTTCAAAGGGTAGCTATCTGATGGCAGACATTCTTTGCTATGTCACTATTGGCAAAGACATGATTTTCAGTTTTATCTTTTGGAACCCTACAACATGAGCAACTTGCTGATAAATTGATCCCAAACCTACTCATATTATCATCCAATGGAAGTCTTCCCTTTACAAATCTCCACATGAAGAAACAAAAAGTTCTTTGATCCAAATCTTAGAGAAAATTGAAATTTTGTTGTTCTTCAATCTTAGTTCTTCATATGCCGATGCAAAAGAGAAGATTTCATTGGGGTTAATTTTCCAAGTAGCTTGATCTTTAAGAAATCCATTCCCAATGTTTACTTCATTAATCATATTAATGACGTTATCCGGGATAATATTTTTCACTTTATCAAGGTCCCAAGCATGATCATTAATATAATCCTTGACTTTCTCATTCCCAGGTTTAATGTAGGATAAATAAGAGAATTTAGCGACCCTTGGCCAGTCCAGTCGTCCCATCAAAAAAGTGAGTTACCATTGTTGATCCTCCAGCTGATGATATTGTCCATTTTGTCTCTGATGATTGGAAGATTCTTCCATGCATTAGAGTCTTTGGAGCTGATAACTTTATAGAGGAGATTGCTTCTAGAACGTTACTTAGCTTTTAAGAATTCTGCCCATAGAGAATGTTTTATCCTAAACCTCCACCATCTCTTAGTATTGAAGGAGTTACAAATATCTTGCAAACTTTTAAAACCCAAATTAACCTCCATCATTCTTGGGAAAGCATATATTGCTCCAAGAGCATCAATGATATTTGTTTTGCCTTCTCTTTGTCTCTAAAAGAGATTAGCAAAATAACTTTCATTCTCTTTAATAACAGCTTTTGGAGGCATAAGAGCTGCAAAGATATAGAGAGTTTGAGATTGCAAAATATAATTGTTAATGAGAGCTTTACCTCCGACGGTAAGGAATCTGCCTTGGCAACCATTTGTCTTATTGATAATCATCTTAGAAATATCAGAGAAAAGACAAATTTTCTTCCTTCCTGAGTAAATGGGACATCCCAGGTATGTGAAAGAGTATGGAGAGTGTTTGAATCCTGTCCATCTCCTAATCATGCTCCTGGTAAGTCTGCATATATTATCGTGAGTCACGAAGAAGCTTTTCTCCCTATTGATTTCCTGTCCAGATGCCTTCTGGTATTTATTGAGTTGATCATAATCATCTTGATGGCCTTTTTATCCCCAAAACAGAAAAGGACCAGATCATATGTGTGCCCCAAATGATTTATATGGAGGCCTCTATTCTTCACGGAGAAACCAATAAAACTATCATTTTGGTGAAGTTGGTTGAGAGCCCTTGTGAGAACTTTTACGACAATAATAATGAGTGTAGGAGATAAAGGGTCTCCTTGTTTGAGACTTCTGGTTGAATTAAAAATCCAACTCTTGTTACGTTATTGGTAACAGAGTACAATTGGTACTCCATCACTACAAAAAAAAACAGTCAAATTGCGGCAGTTATTTTTACAAATTGCAGCGGTTTGTAGCTCCCGCAATTTGTTGTTGCAGCGGTTCACAAAACTCCTGCAAGAAGGCTCACCGCAATCAATTTGCAGTTATTTCTGCCTCGACTGCCATAATTAATTAGCAACAGTTAATTTGCGACAGTTCAACCCCGTAAATTGATTATTAAATTATTAAAAATTTATATTTTTTAAAAGTTCCAGAAAGAACTCTGTCAACCATTTCGGAACTTTCAAGATTCTTAAAACCGTACCCCTCTTTCTAGAGCTAAAAATTAATATTCGTGAAATGATATTTATTTAAATTTATTTTATAATTCAAGCACATGATTATTTATGTGATTTTTAAATTTTTTTTAATACTTATTAGTATCTGATACGCACGTAACGCGCGCATCCAAAGAGTAGTTATTTAAAAGCACGAAGACTCTTAGCAAAAATCGTTCGACTTTTATACCCTTTAAAAATATATCTTACGGTAGATGAAATAGTCATTTAACTATATATATCTCTAATATTTAGTAGTAGTCATTTACTTATTCTCCTAATATAAAGAATAAAGATTTCGAAAGGAAATAAATTGGTATATTTAATTAATAATTAATTTCTAAAAATAGGTAAAATTTCGATCCTGCTTCAATTCCTTCTAGTTTTAGGACTCTTTGCCTAAATAAGAGTGCATTAATAATATTGGACACGAACGACGTTTCTTTCTTCAAATTCCTATCAAGTTGGGACTCCTACTCATGTTAGGAGTAAACCACCGCCTTCTTAAAACCTATTTATTTTTCTCGTACTTATATAAATACCCCCACAAAATTCTTTCACACCTCAAAATTCCTACTACTCTATTAGGGTTTCTTCTTGAGATATAGAAAATATGTCTTCCACCGGTGAACTTGCTTGTACTTACGCTTGTTTGATCCTTCATGATGATGGCATTCCTATTAATGCCGAGAAAATTTGTACACTCATAAAAGCAGCAAATTTGAAGGTGGAATCATACTGGCCGAGCCTTTTTGCAAAACTTTGTCAGAAGATGAACGTGGATGAACTTGTGATGAACGTCGGCGTCGGCGGAACGGCGGCTTCTACCGCCGCTGTAGCCGCTGCTCCCACTCCTACTACTGGTCACGATGCCGTCGCTGCACCTTCCGCCAGTGACAAGAAGAAGGAAGAAGTAAAAGAAGAGAGTGATGATGAGCTGATGTTCAGCTTGTTTGACTGATATCCTCAACTTATAGGCTCTTTAGTATATAGAGAATTATTGCAGGATTATTTTAAGTTTTTAATATTGGGGCTACTTTATTATTATTTTAAAAAATAGTCCATTAATCATAGAACTTATTGAACTTGTAATCAATTCCTTCTCGGTGAGTTTCTGTCTGGTTTGGTTTCGATTTATTTCAATTTTAGAGATAAAGAGGCAAGGATTTAGAATTTCTTGAAGCAATGTATTAAACAATTATTATATATCACTAACATATTTGGAGTTGTGGTTTGTTTTCAGTTCTACATCTAGACAAAAGGTCGAGGATTCAGAGCTGATCATAAACCGCAGCCTTTTCTTCTAGATTCAAGGTCGGAAGAATCGGAAACAGACTCTAAAACGGAACCTTTCTCTAGCGGCCTCTTGGCTTCTTTCTTCTCTGTCTATGTGCATGTGTAATATCAGTTTATTTTGAATGATATAGAATGATCCCAGAATTGCTTTATTAGACTTGGCGATGCACCCTGTTCAGAATCAACTCTTGCCTGAATAGTGCAATTAGTCTCCTTAATTGATAAACAATTTTATTGAGATGTAAAGCCTCGTGTATATTCATTCCAATTAAGTCTTAACAATCAACCATCTATTTATGAATTTAAGTTATACACACGAATAATTTTTGTTTTCCTTTTGCTTTTTTGGTGAACATGTTCAACTTGATATGGATATAGCAACTTGATTACGCCCAACTCCAGTCCTAAATAGGATAAGCGGTCCGAAGCCGAATCCCACAGATAACTAAGGCTATCAACTAACGAGGATAAAGTTGGAGACAAGATAAAGGAGACGTAGATTCTCTTCCGAGCAATTATCACAATTTACTAGATTCTTTCGAACTACGCTGGCACTATTTCACTGCGCACTACGATCATACCAATGTTTCGTTATTCCTAATCCCATCTTTAACCGCGCCGTATTGATTCCTCATATACGTTAGGAGTGATGATGTTCAACAATTACCCTTTTCCAAGCAACACATGATAAATAGGCACAGTCAATTGAGAGCTCTTCAATCAACTGAAATAAGCACATAGTTAAACAAGTAGAGAAATTCAAAGGCTCAATAATATAAAAACGTAACAAGAATTCATTCTCCAAAAGGCTCCATGAAAACCCTAGACAAGAAATTAGCTACTCATGCTAGTATGTAAAAATACAATACTAGAATTCATAACAATCGAAAAATAGGAATAAATAGGAAAAATGTGAAGTTGAATCTTCTCCTTGCTCCAAGCATGTTTTTGCCTCCCTAAAGTCTTCTCTCCCTTCAAAAAGTGGCTAACTATCATATTTATATGAAGTAGGGTTGAGTTTGGCGAGTTTGGCTTCTCCTAATTCGGATTAGAGAAGTTGATTTCTTCTACTTCGGTCCCGGTTTGGCGAAGTGAACCTCGCTTCGTTGTCCCAAATTTCTCTCTTAAGCTTTTCTTCTGCCAATTTTCTCCTATTTGATCCTTTTTCTGCGCAAGTTCGTTCCTGCATCTGGCTAATGGGCCGTCGAACATTTTACTGAACAATGTTCCTTCGACCAAGCTAAATCTGGCAGCATTGGTTGTACCCAGAAAGGGCATTGAGAAAACTGAGTATCTCGTGCCCGATCGTCACGTCGGTGATCCAGTCGATGTTAGGCAAAGGAAAAGAATCCTTATGACATGCCTTGTTCAGATCTTTATAATCCACACACATTCTTAGCTTATTTCCTTTTTTAGGTACTACCACTACGTTGGCTAACCAGTCCAGGTATTTAACTTCCCGAATGGAACCTATTTTAAAGAGTTTAGATACCTCGTCCTTGATGAATGTGTGCTTCACCTCGGACTGTGGTCTCCTTTTCTGCTTAATCGGATGGAGCTTTGCGTCCAAACTCAACTTATGAGTGGTTACTTCCGGCGGGATCCCTGTCATGTCAAGATGAGACCAAGCGAAACAATCTATGTTAGCTGCAAGAAATTTAATGAGTTTTTTCCTTAGCTTGGGAGTTAACCCCGTTCCTAGGAATACCTTCCGATCGGGTAAGTGTTTGATCAATATGACTTGCTCCGGCTCCTCGACCATCAATTTGGTGGCATCAGAATCATCGGGAGCAATGAACGACCTAGGAACTCCGTAATCATCCTCCTCGCCTACTCCTCGCTCTTCTGGTCCAGTCGGGGCCGATATCAGTGATTGCTATTTAATTTCTTCCTTCCTGGTTGGTTCAGTGTTCTTTAATGTAGAGACTACGAGCACTGGGATCACCTCGTCGACTGCTCTTTTGTGGCCGGCTACTCTCCGTAGACCGTCTTGATTCCTCTAGGCATAGGGAAATTCAATGGCTGGTGTAATCTTAAGGGCACTGCCCTCATGTTGTGAACCTATGGCCTTCTGAATAAGGTGTTATACCTTATGTCCCCCTCGATCACGTAGAATTTGTATCTAGGATCATCCCGACGGTGTTCATTGGTAGGGTTATTTCTCTTTTAGTAGTTTCGCACGCCATGTTAAACCCGTTCAACACCCGGACCGCCGGCACTATTTGATCGTGTAACCCCAAGTACTTTACGAGCCTCGATCTGATGATGTTGGCCGAGCTGCCTGGATCAATCAACACACGTTTAACTCGAGATTTATTGACAAGTATGAATATCACCAGGGCATCGTTATGAGGTTATACGATGCCCTCGGCATCCTCGTCACTGAACTAAATGGTTCTCTCCGAGATGTAATCTCGGGTGCGCCTTTCCCTCGTGATGTGTACTTTTGTGTGCTTTATAATTGGCCCCCGGGGGATATCGACCCCTCAAATGATCATGTTGATGACGTGCTGAGGTTCTTTTTGTTCGGTCTGTTTATTGGAGTCCATGTTCCTGAAGTTGTTTTGTCTCGAACACCTTGAAATTCTTGGAGGTACCCACTATTAAACAATTGGGCAACTTCTTCTCTCAATTGTTGGCAGTTCTTGGTTCTGTGGCCATGGGTGCCATGATACTTACACATCAGGTTAGGATCTCTCTAGGTAGGGTCGAACTACAATGGTCGAGGTCACTTGGTTTCCTTGATATGCCCATGGCTGATACGATGTTGGTTGCATCAATAATGAAGTTATACTCTAACAATCTTGGTGCTTCCCTTTCCTCGAGCACCCTATCAAAACCATTCTTGCTCATCATACCTCAGTTATTGGTCCCATGGTCGCTTCTCTTCTCGTTCCTCATAAGGTTATGCCAGGCCCATTTCCCCTCTGATCTGTACTGTATGGTTGATATCGATCTCGGACCAGCCTTGATTCACGATCGACAACTCTCTTAGACCTGTCATCGGTTCTGATGGGATAAACGAACCCAGAAGGGGCTCCGAGTTGGTCTTCCTCGACTTTGATTTTTGACTGGTACCTGTTGTGGATGCGACCCAAGTTACCGCCGGTACTCTAACAATTTTGTTTTAGCTGCTTCAAAGCCAAGGAGCTTTGGGGGTTAAGTCCTTGAGTGAATGCCTGAATGGCCCAATTGTCCGCAACCGGAGGTAAGTCCATCTGTTCCATTTTAAACCTTGACATGAACTCCTTGAGCATCTCATTGTCTCTTTGCTTAACCTTGAAAAGGTCTGATTTTTTGGTCTCAACCTTGATGGCCCCGGTGTGAGCTTTTACAAAAGCATCCGTGAGCATAACGAATGAATCAATGGAATTTAAGGGCAAGTTGTGGTATCATATCATTGCTACTTTTAATAGAGTTTCCCCGAACTTCTTTAATAACACTGACTCGATTTCATCGTCTTCCAAATCGTTACCTTTGATGGCGCATGTTATGAGGTCACATGCTCTTTCGGATCCGTGGTTCCATTGTATTTTGAAATATTGGGCATAAGAAACCTCTTCGAGATCGGCTTTGTTACTGCGCTTGGAGGAAAAGGATTTTGGACAAATTTCTTGGACTGCAGGACTTTCAATATTGGGGGCACTTCTGGGATCTGATCGACCCGGGATTTATATATCTCCAACTTCTTGTTGTCTTCCTCAATTTTCTTTTCACCTGATTCCGACCGTTTGGTTAATGCTTCAAGCATTTTCATTACTTGGGGGCTGACACCGGACTTAGCTTCATGCAGTCTTTCGGTGATCTGCTCATTTCTTCGGGTGTTTTCACGGGATGGTTCGGGCTCAACTCTACTGGGGGCGCGACTTTGATTTTGCAGCTGTGCTATCGCCACTTGTTGATCCTGCAACATTTCAAAGATCAATCGTAGACTGACCCTGTCGCTTTCGAATTCGGGTGCTCCTCGAGCCGTTAGTCGGACTCCTCCGCGAACGTTGTTCTCGGAGTCGATAGGCAAGTTGGCATCGATGGCCACCTGCGATTTAACATCAACTGGGTGCCTCCGTTGGGATCAGCAGGGGGCACCTCACTGCTGGGCACCAGATTGATGTTTTCGCCATGATGGCCAGACTCAGCCTCAACGTTCAGGTAAGCAGACCGAGAATTTGACATTTCTAAGCTGACCTTGTAGACATGTAATTTTTTACCCTCCCCGAGATTTTACATATTTTAGCGTTTAAATATTTAGTTTAGGTCTAATATCGTTATTTTAACTAGTTTTGACTCTTTTACTTTATTTTATCACAAAAATAAAAATTACAAAAAATAATTTTCTTTAATTAGCTAATATTTTATTTAGTAACTTTTGGTTTATCTACCATTCATAAAATTATAAAATACAAATAGCTTTACTTTTAGTATTTAGTTTTACTTTAGTAACTTATTTTAATTAAGAGTGATTTTTATATTTTATAGATACATTATTTATTTAGTCTTCTTACCCCAAAGTTAAAACCCAATAAAGTATGGACCCAACCCCAATCTCCTAAATTCAAGCCCAAAATTGGACCACCTTTTGAGCCCAAAACTCTTAAACCCACAAAAAGCCTAATTTCCTAATAACCCTTCACCCTTAAGACACCCTAAAATGAACGATACCCAGCTTCTTCTTGGGGAACCCTTGGACAGACCTAAGCTGGATCAGCAGCGGATACCAAAAGAGAAGCTAATGCTGCCAGCCCCTAGCCCCATTCCCATTGCCGCCATTCACCCCTAAGTTTCAGCACACATCAACCTAGCACCCCCTCTTCTTCTTCACCTTCATCTCCGCCAAAAACCAGCCGCCCATCATAGCCGACGACCTTACTCTACCTCACAACAACCTACGTCCAAGCCGGAAAACCACCCA